GCACATAGGTGAAGATGTTATTTTTTTGGGGGGGAGGGTGGAAAGATACATCTTTGCCTATGTACCCAAAAATCTTTGCACCGGCCCTGATGGTGGTGGGGGCATCATGGTTTGGGGCTGCTTTGCTGCGTCAGGGCCTGGACGGATTGCGATCATCGAAGGAAAAATGAATTCCCAAGTTTATCAAGACATTTTGCAGGAGAACTTAAGGCCATCTGTCTACCAGCTGAAGCTCAACAGAAGATGGGTGTTGCAACAGGACAATGACCCAAAGCATAGAAGTAAATCAACAACAGAATGGCTTAAACAGAAGAAAATACGCCTTCTGAAGTGACCCAGTCAGAGTCCTGACCTCAACCCGATTGAGATGCTGTGGCATGACCTCAAGAAAGCGATTCAGACCAGACATCCCAAGAACTGAAACAGTTCTGTAAAGAGGAATGGTCAAGAATTACTCCTAACTGTTGTGCATGTCTGATCTGCAACTACAGGAAACGTTTGGTTATTGCTGCCAAAGGAGGTTCAACCAGTTATTAAATCCAAGGGTTCACATACTTTTTCCACCTGCACTGTGAATGGTTTACATGGTGTGTTCAATAAAAACATGGCAACATTTCATTCTTTGTGTGTTATTAATTTAAGCAGACTGTGATTGTCTATTGTTGTGACTTAGATGATGATCAGATCACGTTTTATGACCAATTTGTGCAGAAATCCATATCATTCCAAAGGGTTCACATACTTTTTCTTGCAACTGTAGAATCCCTTTGACCCCGACCAAGGCAGTTTTAGCTTTCTTGCCATGCATTCATTTCACATAATTTTCCCTCTGTTTAAGTGTACCCATACATAGTATAAATCGTATTTTAAAGTAGAAATATGGCCTTTGATTTTGATTCCCTATATGTATACATAATGCAATATTAAAAAGAAATTGGGGGGTTAGAGGGGGGGAACACGACTGTTCTCAGTTTTACATGCAATAATCTCTACATACCAAGTGCAACTAAAGAAAACTAATTCATAATAGATTCACTACTTATTACCGATTGTTAAAATATCCAATATGTCTAGGATTTCAAATATTTGTAGAAGTTATAAAACAAATTCTGCATTGAGTCAGTTATGGTTTAAAGTTAAAACGTTTGGCATGCTGAGCATACAACTTCAATAGTAATCACAAAATGCAAAACACAAAAGAATATAGTTATAGAAAGCACATACCCCAGGTTATGTAACTAAGATAATTTTGACACTTTTCATTTAACCATTTGATCACAAACCTAAGTCATAGTACTTAAAGCAGCACTGTCATGCTGAACTTACCTTTCTTTAATCGATTCCTCTTCTCTCCCTCTGTCAGGATCTGTTCTTCATTTCTTACTGTCTGCTCTAGTTTTCTTATAGTAGGGACTATTTTGTCTTATGGAGGTTTCCTACGCATGAATATCTATGACCAGGGGAGGAGCAAAGTGTGCTTCATTTCATGTGGTCAGAGAAATTTTCCCACAATTCTTACCTTTCCTCCGTGATCTCGCGATGCTTCCTGTCAGTATTCCTGAACGTCCTGTCATTTAGACAGGATGCCGGCGAAACTACCAAATTTCATCCTAACAGAATGAAAACAGTTTCTCCATTCATGACCTCTTTGTACATTGTGATTGCAGCATGAGAGAGCTCACTCTCATGCTGAAGTTCCTCACTCAGATCAGTGCTGGGCAGCTGGCAGAGCCCAGCACCAATCCTGCTTCAGGTTGCAAGCAGAGAGACCTCCCCAGGGTCTTTTTACCGCAGCTAACCGGTCAGTCTGGGGACACTAACTGTATCCCCAACTGGCAAAGAAATATAACTAATATCAAAGGATACCTGGGGGTTCTTGGTAACAGCAGGGATTTAACCCCTGCTGGTACATTAACTGCAAAATGCTCTACGCAGTCACTGGTCATTAAAGTCTTACACTGCATGATGGCATGGACTGTCATGTGGTTCTTAAGTGTTTAAACTACAATAAATGTATTTAGAAATCAGTCTGTGTTAATAATATAAATTGTTCTAGTTCTATATTACATTTTAGCATTATAAATTATTAGTAAATCACCTAAAACAGCCCTGCACGTGGCCACACCCTCACTCACACCCCTAAAATTAAAGTGGCACTCATTGTCCAGTTAAAATGTTGGGAAACATGCAAGAGACAATACTTTTTTTTTTTTTTTTTAAATAGACGTAAAGTTAAACATTGACGCCATATGTTTAATGATTTTTTTTTTTTTTAAATTGCAAATTACAACAAATTAAAAATGTATACAATTATTTCCTGTGACACAAACTTTTATATGCCACTTTGTTTTCATAAAGTCTTAATGGATACCATAATTGATTATATAAATATGAGTTCTGGATGATATGAAGAGACGTCCCCAGAGGTTTTCCGCCCACAAAGCACAGGGGAGTTTAAAGAAGCCCAAAAAAAAAAAAAAAAAACGTAATGACGTCAAACCTGGGTACGCAGGCAGCGCTTCCTCGATCAGTCTCCCAGGTCGCGTATAAATTCATACGAACTGGACCTCCGGCAGTCGGGGTGGGGCCAGTCACCAGCGCGTCACCGCTGGGGGCGGGGCATCCCGGCGGGGGAATGGCAGTGGCCCCCAACGGCCCCGCAGAGACAGAGCGCTCGGTCATGGTGTGAAGAAAAGAGGAGACTGCCGAGCCAACCAATCACAGGGTGAGGAATTCAACGCGTGACTAGACGCGACCGGACCAATCAGAGCATGCACGACTGTAGAGAGGACGCACCTTTCTTCTGGCAAATGAAGCCGTTCGTTCAGTGTTTATGGGCGAGGCTTCCTTCCTTGACGTCAATAATTGGCGTTATGGTGATGACGACTATTTCTTGTGCCCAATCAGCTTTGAAAGCAACGAATCACGGTTAGGTTATACCCGCCTGCGTTTCTCATTGGTCAGTCACTGGCAAAGGTGGAGATTGGGGTGAACGTCTGCACTAAAAGGGTGTCGCATGCATGCCATTACCGGAAGCCTATATAGATTTGTGTTTCTTCCACATGTAATGGCATTGTATGGAGCGCATATACACAATATAATTAGTGTAGTAATTTCCATATTATAACACGTCATTCAGGTGCTGTTCTGGTTTCTTAAAAATGCTATATTACTGATGACGTTTATGGACTTCCTTTTAAAAGTATTATTTATATTAAAAACAAACGGTGGACTGCACAATCCGGTTGGCTAGCAAGTGCTGGCCAGCTGCCACTTGGTTAAACCTTTTGCTACAAGGGTTTTTAAACTGTTGGCTCGCTGGCTGTTAGTACTGCCAGTAGTAAACAGCTCAGATTTTTCAGATCAAGGCCCAGATTTAACAATCCAGGTCTGGATATCAGCAGTCCAAGCTCGTTTGGAGCCAGCTGTGCAAAATTTACACATTGTTCAATAGTCTGACAATGTCCAGATTTTGCAGTTCAAATTAAGCTTTTAAGCAGCCCTATTTCGTACACGGTCATGACTGCTGACCAGATAACCTACCCGTTACCCCCAATAATGACATAACACCTGAGTATTGGATAAGGGCAACGGCCACACCTTTATTGATTGAACTTTTAAACACAGCCAACATTACCACCACCTGTCACCTTTTGGGGTGACTACCCAACAGACAGATAAACCGTGTGTTTCCAGACTTCGTACAGCCTGTCTTCTTTCATCAGCCCTAGCAAGCTGCGACTCCCCAAAGCCTTTTCTTGTGAATTACTTGCTCTTGCCAGGAACTCCGCCACCGCGATATCTAAATATCTAAACCAATTTGATAAAGGTGCACTCTGCCTGCCCTCATTAAGTTGCAATTGTCCCCCTCCAGCTCCACGTGTTGTACTGACACACTGCCAAGTCAACGCACAAACCTAGGGATGGTGACGTTGAACTTGCGTCTGCCCCTTTCCAAACCCTTGGCATGCGGCAAGGCTTGCCAGCATGGACGCAGAACAATCTCGGACCATATCAAAGTACACTCAGAAAACAACACCAGACACCATGCCAGGTCGTGCTTCACAGAGTGCACTAAATCCACGGTCCTAACCCCACCTACAAGAACCTGGTGATTCAGAGAAACTGCTATGTTTACATAGCAGGGTTAATCCAACCTCTAGTGGCCGGCTTCCCGACAGCCGCTAGAGGTGCTTCTGCGACGCTGGATGCGAAATTCGCATCCAGCGTGAAGAGCGTCCATAGGAAAGCATTGAGAAATGCTTTCCTATAGACAGTTTGAGTGTGTACGCGGCACTTGCTGTGCATGCGCATATCGCTCCACTCGGGAGCTGACGTCAGCGGGGGAGGAGAAATCACCAGCGCCGAGGGAGCCCGGCCCTGGATTAAGGTAAGTGGCTGAATTTGCATTTTTAACACATTTTTATTTAAATGTGGGTGTTTAGGTATTTTTTTAAATCTGTGCTGGGATTTAACGCACAGTTGAAATCTCCTGCTAGCAAACAGATGCCCATCTTAATCTCATTAACTAAAATAAATTTATTGCATTCAGTTTACAAATCACTATCTGGAATCTACCTGCTGGAACCACTATCTGATTAAGTAATTATAATTGGACAGATTTTGCAAATATAATTTGGGACTACATTAAAATTATATTGGCAAGTATAGACACTCCTTTTTTACCCAGTAAATATTCTGGACAATATTAACCCCTTACGGACACATGACATGTATGACATGTCATGATTCCCTTTTATTCCAGAAGTTTGGTCCTTAAGGGGTTAAAGGATCACTATAGTGTCAGGAACACAAACCCGTTTTCCTGACACTATATATAATCCTTAGGGGACCCAGTAAATAATCAATCGTACCAAGTAAAAAATAATGGCTACAGAATGTGTCCCTCTGAACCTTTCAGGTATATGATGAATGAGTGGAAGAATGACACCGTTCAGCTATTTGTTATTTTTATATATTTTTCTCTTCCAAAAATAACACTTTCATTCCAAAAATGGTCCTTACCCTGATGTAATGTGTGACAAACTCCCCTCTCCAAGTGAGTTTGCCACAAGCTCCTGGAGGAGCCTGCTTGCCAGCCTCCTGCTCACAGACTATGGGCCATGCAGGAAAACCTGTAAAAGACTACCAAACTTGACCGACTGTTCGCACTGATTTCCCTGGAACTGTTTTGGGCATGGGAAATCTTTGAACCCCTGAACCGATCTGGGTGATTTTGGGATATGTAGTTCACCCAGATCGGGCTTATGACCAGAGCTAATTCCCCATTCGGCTCCAGGAAGGAGCGGTTCCAGGGCCCCAGCCAAGCCACGGCGACTGTGGGCAGAAGTGCTGCGGTTTGTCCCCTGTTCCAGCTAGGAAGAGGTCCCTTGGCGGAAGTACCCAGATGGGTTACAGGGAACTCCGTTACACTGGTGGCAAGTGGTGGGATAGCTTCCTAACCGTGGGAAAACCAGCACTACTGCAGTATGGAAGACAAGTACTGCCAGGCAGTATCCGGCTTCCAGCAGTGACTACAGGATGTACTGCGCAGTGTGGAGTACCCTATCCCAGAGGATTGGGTGGCACTTCGAACCGATCTCTGGAAGGAGGACCTTTACGAAATTCGACCCTTTCGGAGTGAGGAAATCCTGACCACCAACCAGCGCCAAGCAGAAAAGCTAGAGCTGCGGATGCCGTACCTGGGAAACCAGCCCTCAAAGGAATGGGTAAGCGAACTGGAGACGCTAGTTGAGACTGAGGTGTGGCTGGATGATTCCTACCAGGCCATGCAGTGGCATGCCTACCACCTCTACCCGGGGCTAATAGAGTATTAGTCTATCCAAGCTGAGCGGGCAGACAATTGGGACCTTACTGAGATCGCTGCCATTCAGCCAGACCTATCTTTTCTTGCCAACCGGGAGTGGGAACTAGAACAGGATTATGTTTGCCTATTCCAATGGGTAACGCTGCCTGTGTCTTACATGAGGGGGCTTATGGACTGGATACCATCGGGAGCGTTGAGTTTTGTCCCTCCTCCACAGAAACTAAGCCTGTCATCAGGAGACCCGGACACCGTACCACCTACTTCCCAACCAGCCCCAGAGATAGAAGAACTTATCGACTGGTCCTGGCAAGTGGAGATGGGACCAAGGTCTCTCCATCAGCGCTACAGGGATGCTGGGCAGCCAGCCCAGATCTCCAACCCCAGATGGAAATGTTAGGAGTGGGGACAGTCGGCCCCTCTCCCCAGCAACAGAATACAGTCCAGGGAGGGAAGTGTTCCGTCCTTCCTCCTCAGCGACAGTGTGATACAGGGAGGGGAGACAAACGGTCTCACTCCCCAGCGGCAGTGTGCAACCCAGGGAGAGGAGAGTATCATCCTCAATCTTCAGCAGCCAAGGGTGTTACAGGGAGTGGAGACAGTGTGTATTCCAGGGAGAGACGTGTGTCACCCTTCATCCCCAGCGGCAGTATGAGGTCCAGAGAACAGACACACCCGGTCTTGTTCCCCAGTGGCAGTGTATCCTACATGGAGTGGAGCGTGTCGCCCTTCCTCCCCAGAGTGTGTTATTGGGAGTGGAGATGGTCAGTCTCACTCCCCAGCGGCAGTGTGCAACCCAGGGAGAGGAGAGTATCGTCCTCCATCCCCAGCAGCCAAGGGTGTTACATGGAGTGGAGACACCCGGTCTCACTCCCCAGTGGCAGTGTGCATCACAGGGAGAGAAGTGGGTCATCCTTCCTTCCCAGCAGCAGCATGTGTTATTCGGAGAAGAGACAGTCGGTCTCTCTCCCCAGCAGCAGTATATGTTACAGGGAGTGGAGACAACCGGTCTCACTCCCCAGCGGCAGAGTGTGTTTTTGGGAGAGGAGACGGTTGGTCTCTCTCCCCATCGGCAGACAGAGTTACAGGGAGAGGAGTGTGATGTCCCTCCTCCTCAGCGGCCGAGTGTATTGTGGGGAGAGGAGATGGTCAATCCCGCTCCCCAGTGGCTGAGTGTGCTACAGGGAGTGGAGATAACTGGTCTCACTCCCCAGCAGCAATGTATCCTACATGGAGCGGAGTGTGACGTATAGTAGAGGAAACAGGCCAGAAAAAATTGCTTACGCAAAAACATAGGGACAGGGTTGCCTCCAACATAATTACAAGATTAGTAAATAAAAATGAAGTGTATTTGACACCCAAATCGATTGGTAACTGTTTTAACTCATATTATAGTAAACTTTATAACTTTTCTAGTATGGATATAAATTCATATTTGGATAGCACACCAACTCCTACAATTTCAGAAAGTCAAAGAGATACCCTAAACTGTCCTAGTTCATAGCAAGCAGTGGAAGGCATTATTTCAAAATTAACACAAACTTTTGAAATTTATTTTTTAAACCTCTCAAAGAATTACTTGTGATCAGCTTGCAAAAACTTTTAATTATATTGTTGAACAAGGTGCTTTGCCCCAAGAAATGTTAAGAGTCAACAGTCTTCCAATTCTTAAGCAAGATAAAGACCTTACCAAAGTTCAATGCTATAGACTTATTTCATAGTTACATAGCTGAAAAGAGACATGCGTCCATCAAGTTCAGCCTCTCTCACATACGTTTTTTTGCTGTTGATCCAAAAGAAGGTAAAAAACAAACCACAAAAAACAGTTTGATGCACTTCTGGTTTTGCAACAGACTTAGAAAAAAAAAAATTTTGACCCCAGAATGGCCATCAGATATCTCCTTGGAACAAGAAGCTATTAACCCCACTAATTAAAAATTATTTCCCTAAATGTTTTTGCAAGCATTTATCCAATTTCTGTTTATACATCCGTATAGACTCTGATAAAACCACTTCTTCAAGCAGAGAATTTCACATTGTTACTGTTCTTCTGTGTAAACCTCCCCCCTCACCCCCCCCACAAAATAAAAACCTTCCTTTATCTTAGACTAAATCTCTTCTTCTAGTCAAAATGTGTGGACACATAGCCCATGTATGAATAAAATTCTAGACCAGGCATAGGCAACTTTCGGCACTGCAGATGTTTTGGACTCCACCTCCCATGATGCTTTGCCAGCACATTATGGGGGGTGTAGTCCACAATATCTGGAGTGCCAAAGGTTGCCTATGCCTGTTCTAGACAATGGTTTGTATTGGCCCCTGAATATATGTGTATAATGCTATATGCCGTTGCTCCAAACTAAAGATTTAAATTTAACCTTTCGTCATAACTAAAATACATTTTAATAAATGTTAATGTTAAAATATTTTCAGCTGTGCTGGCAAATAGAATGAAAGGTATTCTTAATACAATCATAAACCAAGATGAAGTGTATTTGACACCCAAATCGATTGGTAACGGTTTTAACTCATATTATAGTAAACTTTATAACTTTTCTAGTATAGGTCGTACCCCCTAATGATCAAATCAATATGAAAACAATAACAGTGCTGGATAGCAAATAAAGAAAATTTTAATTTTATTAGAAGATCTTATAATTTCATATAGTCAAAAAATATAATTTCCACATATCTTGGTATTATACTCACTCAAATGTGTCAAATCTCAAGATATATATATTTTTAAATAATCTTAGAGCAATGAATATATATCTGAAGAAAATAAAACAGAAATCTAGTGGTGGGATAGAATGAAATGTATCAGTGCTTACATTTTACCCAAGTGTTCTTATTTATTTCTTATGCTCCCACTAAAAGTTCCTAAGCCTTGGTTGGACATGATTCAAAGTTATTTTTCTAATTTATTTTGGAAATGAAAGAGAACAAGAAATAATAAAAATTATCTTGCTCAGAAAATTTAATCCGGGAGTATGGAGTTTCCAATTATTGAAATTACTTACCACCCTAATATGATGATCCATGTTTACAAGTCTCAGCTTGGAAAGTGAGACATGTGGCCTAGTCCATTTGGGAGCACTTGTTTGGAATGGGAATAGGAACCCTCAGCTTTTAAAGGATAGGGCTTCTAGTGCTTGTATCTTATTTTAGACTACTGGGTTAAATTAAATAGAAAAGTAGAATAGGTAATAAAATTCCTTCAAATAAACAAAAATAGGTCCTGCGCCCAGACTCCCACTAGTCCTGTGCAGCAGCAACGACCATAGTACACATCAGCCCCAATACATACAATAAAAATCAAAGAAAAGTGTGTGACAGACCACCTGGCACCCTGACTGGGTACCTCTGCCAATCGATGCTTCCTAGCTGACGCCGAGGACCATAACCACTGCACCAGACACCATAGACCCCAAAAACCACTGCAGCTTGGTTGGGGTCTCGCGGTCCCTTCCCACCCTGGACCAAAGAGCTGGATCCAGGGACTCAGTGGGAAGGCCTCTCCTCCAATAGAGTATAGCTGTGAAGCTCTTACAAGAGCTATTAGTGATAGCTGTATAGCAGTTCCCTACAACAACTGCGTTGAGGGTAAAGTAAGACTGTTTTAATGGTAGCCACACTGGCCTTTTATGCAAGTCCCCAAGCAAGGTGTACGCCCACATGGACCTTGTTGGGGACAGGGACACAAACTTACAAACCAAAAATAACATTTATAATGTAAGGCACTACCACACATAGCATACAGTCCCTCCCCTCTGCCTTGGAGATAATTGAGTCAGATACTGTATTAACCCAATTGTCTCCAGGCAGAAAAAAACATTTTTTTAAAAGTCACAAAAGTACCCCAAAACACATAATATCCCCATAAATGTTACATTCCCCAATAGCCCTGATCTGGGTGACCAACATATCCAAAAATCACCCAGATCAGTCCAGGGGTTCATCAATTTTATTGAAGTCAGAGTTGATCCTGACCGCAGGCATGGTCCCATAGCCGAAAATAGTTCCATAGAATCGCGGCTAAGTGCCGCTGGAGGACTGATCGGAAACCGCGAAGTTTAATGCCGAAAATAGTTCCAGGGCATTCACAGCTAAGTCCCCCTGAAGTCTATTTGCGGTTTTGGTCCGTGCGAACAAGATGGCTACCACCCGAATGGATTCGGGAGTTCAAAGTGCCGGTTCGAAAGTTTGACTTGTCCCAACAGGCGCAAATAATGTTTTCAAATACGGTTTAATACAGGAGCCATAGTCGCAGGCTAGGAGGCTGGCAAGTATGCCCCTCGGAGGACCCGTGACGAGGTCCACAAAGTTACCTGCGCGCTATCCCAAATCCCTATGGTAGCAGAGCTCCTATACCCTGGCTGGGTATCTCTGCTGGAATATTCCTTAAGCTGGAGGAATGCACTGTTTAGTGTTATAGTCCTTATTCCCACAACACATCAGACGACACTTGATGTTGGGGCAATGACAAAGTATAATGGGGCAAGGTGGTGTTTTATACACAGACCCCCAACAGGGGTTCTCCATTGTTCAAATAGATAGTCTCTCCCTGGTGTCTCTGTGTCTGGGAGATAATGGAGTCACCTCTCGACAAATCAATTATCTCCCAGATACAGAACGTATTACATTAAAAAAAAAACATACCCGAACCCACACAAGCAATACATCATATTATGATAGGAGCGCCCATTCTGGCAAATGAACACTCAGATCCATAAGGAATTTGAGAAACGGCACAGGTTAAAGTTCTGACCGGCCATTTGTGGAATCCTGGCCAAAAGGAGTTCCATAAAGTCAATGCCTGTGGTTGGTCATTTTACGGTCATTCTGGTGCCGTGGAAAAAAGGAGCTCCCACTGGATCTCAGGGAGCGATTGTTCCTCAAGGTATGTTGTACCTTCCCTCCAACACGGGCTCTTCTGGATGAGTAGAAGTGAGATAAAACGAGGATGGGACTTGACCAGGAGATGAGGCTCATAGCTTGCGAACGGGAGTTCCAGAGAATTTGTAGCTATTCCCTGCTGAAGTCTTAAACGACTTCAGACTCCCTGGAACCGCTAGGGACTGAAATAGGGAAGAGCGCATTCAGTGCAAGTCCAGAACAGAAGGTAGAGAAAGCCAGGGAAAGGAATATAGTATTTTATGGACACAATAATACAAGGCAAGTACTGAAACACCTTTGCATATTTAAATAAATGGTTTTTAATTCCACTGAAATGGCCATTAGAGGTAACACTAGGGTTAATAAGCATGTAGGGATTTAGAAAAATACCCCTCTCTGTCTCAGAGATTTTATTTCGCCTTAAGCGGAGGGAAGCAAGGTTAAATCCGGGAGTATGGAGGACCCATTTTAGAGGTTTGCCTTGATGTGGCAGGTGGGCTTATATCTAATGGCCATTGGAGTGGAACTAAAAACCTCCATTTATTTAAATATGCATAGGGATTTGAGATAATGCGCAGGTAACTCTTCTTTGGATTTTAATAAAATTCCATCAACTATTAAATTAGCTTCTATAGAAAAATATGTATCTGATTTAATCCTAAGAACTTGGTCACACAAAAAGTATTCTTCGGGAACACCACTTGATGGAGGAAGGTAAACATCAATCCATCCCCCCATCTAAAATGAGACTTCCATCTTCCTAAAAAGGATTTATCTATATTAGATTAAAACAACTTTCTAAGTTAGAACATTATTGTGGAATCCAATGAGCGAGTTAGGTAGATATTAAAGGGACACTATAGTCACCAGAACAACTACAACATACTGTAGTTATTTTGGTATTTTCCCTGCAGGTAATTTTATGTAAACACTGCCTTTTCAGGGAAAAGACAGTGTTTACATTGCTGCTAAGGGACACCTCCAGTGGCAGTGACTCACAGCCATTAGAGGTGATTCCTGGGTCGTTCCTGACTCAGTAGGAAAGCATTGTATTGTCTGAGAATGACAATTTTGATGATCTCAGCCAAGGAGGTGGATCTGGGTGAACCCAGCACCAGCAGAGCTGTACGGCTCTGGATTAAAGGTAAACTATTTATTTATGGGAGTGAGGGGCTTGGAACCTAGTGTTTTTAAACCTATAGGGTCAGAAATACACGTTTGTATTCCTGACCTATAGTGGTCCTTTAAGATGCTCAATAATTATTTAATAGATAAACTTGTTTCAAAAAGATCAATGCGCCAGTCAATTTTCCTTTATGTCATTAATGCGAAAAAGAGCTCAAGAGAATCAATAGAAAGCAGTGGTGCTCCGTTCTTCACAAGGTTTGCAAAACCATCCAATGCCTATGAATTGAAACTCTATTTAAAACAATGAACTAGTACCTGGTCTGCTCTAGGTTGTCTAAAGTGTCTCATTCTCTAAAATGTTGGAGATATAAACTTTCACTGTGGCACTTTCATTCATGTGTGGTGGGAATACACTGCAATTAAATCAGGTGGCACTCAGAACTGGAGTATCTGATCAACAAACCCACAGCTAAAAAAAAAAAAAACAGCCAACTCCCCTTCAAAATCCCTGTTACAAGTTTTGTTTCAACTAAAAATGGAGATGTCTCTCTATAAGGTTCAAGGATTAGACCTGAAACAGATCTTAATGTGTGATCTTGGCTAAACAAATTGATTGACCTATGATAATCAAGCTGGGTGGTAATAATGGTGGGATCTTCTGTTTAACTTTCTGAACCGGATTTATATCCCCTAGTATCCTGGTAAGTGGTGTGTACATGTACTATTGTTGTATTTGTGAATGCATATGCCTTTTTCTTTCTTGTTGTTTGTCTTGATAGTTTTTACCTACATCTTACTTTTTTTATACACTGTTATTACTAATAAAGTATAAAGAAAAAAAAATTACAAAACACTACAATATACTTTTTTTTTTTTTTAATATCAAGTTATAATAAATTTTACAGCAATTAATCATTTTTCTTTTGCCAATGGGAAAAAAAAAATCAAAACATACAGAACAGTTTAAAAATAAAACGAATGGTATGGAAGGAAGGCGGAGATGATGTACAAATTTAGAACTTGAACTCTTTATATTTCTTGCCTCCTGCACGGGAGTCCTGTGGCTGTCCTTTCCTCTTCTTTTGCTACAAGGTGAATATTAACAAATATATATTTTGTAAATAATTATACATGATTGACCTAATTAACATGGAAGTATAACATTGCATAGTGATGTAGGTGGAAATTGTAAAATGTACAAGATCCCATTTTACATATACTTAAATAAATTTAGGATAGAAATCACTCGCTTGAATTGTTTGATATACAAAATCAGACACTTATAAAGTCACATATCAACTTATTCTAAATTGTTTATACCATGTTTACGGTGATTAGGTATTCACCAACATAAAGCCACTAAGCAGACAACAGAAATTGATGGAATCAAACTAGATTAAAATTATTTAACAATTGGGGTAAGGACAAAAGAATGACAAGACAAATTGACCAGGAGGGAATAAAAAAAAAAAAAGGAAGCTAATGCGTTCAGACGTGTTCTACTGAGAAGGACTCGTCAATTATGGCGTAGGAAAGTGTACATGAATTGCTGAGTTTACAGGAGAAGACACTATTCATGAAGGCATATGTTAAGTAGTAGTGTACTATGGAGAAGTTAAACAAATATGGTGCAAATGGGTGAGAACAGAGATGATGGTAATGGTCGAATAAAAGTACAGTATTTGGATTGTGCAATTGTATAAAGAAATAGTGGATAGCGATAGCTGAAGCAGATACATATATCAATACCTTCTGTTTGGCTGCATGCTCAGCCACCATGTCACTGAAGTCTTCTTTTTGAACTTGTTCCTGTGCTTCCCTTACTCTTTCTTCGTATTTCTGAGTCATAGCAGATGGATCCAATTCCAATTCTTCAGGAGCAAGAGCCACTTCCACACCTTGCGGTTCAGTGGGGGCCCCTCTTCGTGACATTGCCTGTTAAAATATGAAACATTAACAAATGTTAAGGTGTTGTTCACCAATTTGGCGGTGAAGATGGGAAGAAAGAACTTCTGAATTAATTCACCTCAATCCCACACAAAAAAAAAAAACAACAATCTATGGATGAACCAAATTCCTCATACATTTCTACCATTCCTATTTGTCACTAAAGATGACCTTCTCTTACCGTTGTAATATCATAGATGTGAGTGGAACCCATCATGGCCCCTCCAACAGTAGCTGTTCTTTTCTCCGGAAGTACAGTAAAGAGTTGAGGCGTTTCCGTTCTGCAAGAAATCAAAGGAATTTATCAATGGCATGGAAAACTAAACACAAAGTTATGACTGACAGGTTTATTGGTTTCACTTAATGTAGATTAATTTTAATTTAGAGACTTCTGTAACATAATCTGAAGCATGGCAATTTAAATACATTTCTAATATGTTGCTGGTAAGAGATTGGTGCCATGTTCCTGTCTGTTTAAAGGACCACTATAGTGCCAGGAAAACATACTCTTTTTCCTGGTACTATAGTGCCCTGAGGGTGCCCCCACCCTCAGGGTCCCCCTCCCGCCGGGCTCTGGGGAGAGGAAGGGGTTAAAAATCTTACCTTTTTCCAGCGCCGGGCGGGGAGCTCTCCTCCTCCTCTGCTGAATGCGCATGTGCGGCAGGAGCTGCGCGCCTATTCAGCCAGTCTCATAGGAAAGCATTCATAATGCTTTCCTATGGACGCTTGCGTCTTCTCACTGTGATTTTCACAGTGAGAAGCACACAAATGTCTCTAGCGGCTGTCAATGAGACAGCCACTAGAGGCTTCAGAGGCTGGATTAACCTATTTATAAACATAGCAGTTTCTCTGAAACTGCTATGTTTATAAAAAAAATAAAAAAAATTGGTTAACCCTAGCTGGAGCAGGCACCCAGACCACTTCATGAAGCTGAAGTGGTCTGGGTGCCTAGAGTGGTCCTTTAATCCTTCAAGTAAAACATTGCCATTTGGCATCAACAGCAATGCTTCCACTACAGGGTTAACATGCCTTCAGTGGCTCTTAGGTTGACAGCCACTAGAGGAGTTTCCATAGCTTTAAGAAAATTACACTCTTTTATAGCGGAAATGATTCACTGAGAGCATTTGATTGAAGTAGCACACTGTTTTGCCATGCTTGTGCATAAGCCTTCCAATGGATTAAGTGAAATCACCAATCTTGATTATCTCAATCAGAGAGGCAGCACCAAGACCAGCGTACTGTGGGATGTAAGATAAATAAAATTTACTCTAAACATCTGCAAGGGGGAAGTGGATACCAATATAGGTAGGGGAACACTATAGCCTTGGGAACAAGTTTGCATTCCTAACTCTATAGTGTTCCTTTAAAGGGAGTTTTATTTAGGCACATATGCTTTAGTTTATATTAGTATACACAGTAATTTCACTACATTTGTACATTTCCATAATATGTAGTGGTGCAACATGTAATTAATCTGAATTTCAGGGTGGTTTATTCCAGTAACAGATGTATTTGTCAGATCATGCAACACTTTCTTTACACACAGGTGGAGCGAACTCAAAACTCAGTTACACCAAAACTTAGTGTTTTTAGGTGTTTCTGGCTACAAATAGATATGCCACTAACAAATTACATTTATATTTTGGAAATTTAATTTTCAAAAAAATAAAAAATACAATCAGAGTTGGATAATGAATCCTACCAGGCACAGAGAAGCAGAAGGACTAGGTCAACAAGCTGAGCACGATCGCCAAAGTAATAAAACATTAGAACAATGTCAAATGCAATAAAAAAAATAAAATATAAAATGTCAAAAAGCTGTTTTATCATTGATTATGACAATGTTGAGTATTGACTCAATTCAAAGGTTACTCGAACCATCATGGCTCTCTTCAGTGATTTGAAATGGTCAAGTTGGAAAAAGTCTGTATGTGCAGAGTATCAGATTGAAACACTGCATATACAGGAGATTTTAATTACATTTTTTTAATTCTTTATTTTATTTGTGCAGACAAGTACAAGATGCCTGTTATGCCACGACAGCATAGACAAGCACAAGCATTGCCAACATAATGTAACACAGACATGGCATTTGAGATATAAACACCAGTTTTAAGAAGTAATATTTAAGAAAACAAAATGTCATATCTGTAGCTGGAACATTTGAAGAAAAGTAGCATAAACCAAAAGACATGAGACTATCACAACTGTTGTAGTAGTTGTTGAAGGTACGGTAAGCAGCGCTAGACAAAAGTTTAAGACTACGGCCTCACTGTTGTAGTACAGCTAATCTATTGCGATTCACAGTGGCAACACTTTCACATCAGATCGTGGATGTTGTCATCGAATTAGCAACTAAGTGTCAGTTGTCTTTACTTTCCCTTTTTCAATCATCTAACTCCCAATAAGGACACCTTGATTTTAATGGTAAACTATATGGAGTTAAATTGGATTAAGTTCTATTTGATTTTTCCAATGATAAAAGTGACTACTTAGTTCATATGCCCCCTTTCCTTCCAACTACTATATCGGTGAGCAAATTGGTTTGAGGACAGGTTGGAGCTTTCGATCTCCTGTTAGCAATGATGATTTCTTGCTCTACGTATGGGTATGACGTGGAGGATTTCAATAGGTTCGTCGATTATGCAATTGGGCGCATCCTCCCCTCTATTTAACCCCTTAAGGACCAAACTTCAGGAATACAAGGGAATCATGACATGTCACACACGTCATGTGTCCTTAAGGGGTTAAACTCCTCTGCTAGCATTGTTTGGTTCCCTTTTAAGAGCCTGGTTGTTAGTGGCAAAACGTGCGTCAGGACTTCGTTTGCTCTCCTGTGATCATCTTGGGGATATGGGGTAGATGCTGCGAACGGAGATTTGCCTTCCAGCTAGATATTATGTTGGTTAACTACACAACGGATTCCTGGTCACATCGAGAGACTTATTTTTATTTCTTAAACTTTTTATATTTTGCACTTGCACGTATGTTGAGATTCACTTTTTTTTTCCCTTTTCCCAATTGCTCACAGAGTGATTTTTGTAGCCTCAGGATTTAGCTAGACTTAGGGGGGTAAGGGGATCTTCGATTAGGTGCCCACAAAAGCACAGAACAGTCAATAGAGGAGTTTGCTCTCCCTCCGTTTTCTTGCTTATATTTATCGGACTCTCGTTGTTTATGCTCTCCTACCTATCTTTATTAGTTTCGAAGGTTCAAGAGTTACACCAAGTACAGGTTATAACACAAATGATAGGGGCTACTTAACAGGTATGGAGATTACTGAGTGATACAAATATAATTGAAAATGTATCTGATTCCAATACCTATTCTGTAGCGATATGGCATTTTAGTTTATACTTTATGGATGATTATTTTATCTTTAATCAACATAAGGGTTATATTTTATTTATATGAAGACTGGAATTTAAGTTTGTTGTAAACTAAATTGATTGTTCTAAGTGGGTACATGCCCTCAATGTCTTTTTCAGCCTCAAACCGATCACATGATATTATCCTCCTAATCATATCATCTTATAGCAGCAGCTAAACTTTCAATGGCAAAGGCCTACGGAAGAGGCAAAAGCAGGCACATGGCACATGGATGCAAACCTATATACTAGATGGAGGCAAAACAGTAAGGATAGCAGCTGTTCTTACCCATCCATGGCCTCCTCAATCTTCTTTTTCCTCAGCTCAATCAGTTCTGGGGTCTCCATACCAGCAGGCACAGAAGAAAATCCTCCTGGGGTAATTAAACCACTGTAAATGAAAAAATAAATAAATTAAACCCCTAAAATAAAGACCTCTGTTATTCTTGGCGAACAAATACAAAACTGGGTAAAACAAACAGTCTTTTTTTTGTTTTTGTTTCCCACAATATTTTCAACCATAGTACTATTTAGAGTGAGGCATGATATCCGTAAACATAATTCTATTTCCAGATTACCTTAATAGTAAAAGCAATATGTACAACACAGTTACAGGAAAAGCACGCTGCATGCACCACTGTTTGAGTCAAGTGCACTAAGAATATAGGTAGTGCGGATTTCACATATGCTATTAGTTTACACAAATCCTATAATCCCATAAATGTAGCACAAATGCAGAAGACAAAAACTATAAGCAGTGCTTAATGCCAGAAGTCCTGTGCTACTGGTCAGGTCTTAAAAGGTAATTGAAACTGCAAGCCATATCATACCCACCAGGGATGAATATCTACTTGCAAGGGCTGGTGATGAGGGAAATGTTGAGTCTTGTTAAGAATATAAGTAATGTAACCGCTAATGCTGCTTTATAGCCATACAGCAATTATTTCAGCGACTCCATGAGCTCACCTATCAGCAGGTGTAATAAAACCGGTCTCATCTGGTTTATCCTCATCGCTCTCATCTTCTTCTTCTTCAGATGAGGATTCATCATCAGAGAGTTCCAGCTCTCCCCAAAGGGTCCGATCAATATCCTCCTCCTCATTTTTGCTCTGTAGACAAAATCAAACAATAGCCATGTCAAACTCTTTAGTGCTAAAGGAGCTCTGTCAACCCCGCCCACAAAAATGAGCATTTCAGAAAGATTGTGTTGAAATCTCACTGACTTGCTTGGCAAGAAGGCAGAGCTACCACTGTCAAGCTTTGTAAAATTGTCAGGAGAAAGACTGCTTATGGAGATTCCCACATTCTCCATGTACATCAGTGTTGTACTATTGAGCATATGCGACAGTACAGTACTGATGCTGGCTCCTAGAGATGAAGAGCCTGGAGCTGAAGAGGGCCAGCAGGAAGACAATTGTGGGTTGTCATGTTCATGTAAGTAAAACTCACCTTTCCCTGCACCCCGCATCCAACTCACTGCAAAATCATGATTGCGGGTCTTTGTGCTTTACAGTCAGTTAAAAAGTATAAGTTTGGATTTATAATCCAATATACAGGTTGTATTAAAATATACAGGTACAATGTTTTCAGACTTAACTTGGGCTTCAGACTAAAATGTATAAATTTTATTTTCATTTACTTACATTATAAAAGGGCATATTGTCATGTAAAACATGAAATGTTTGCAGATATTTTTATACAGTAAAAATCAACAAACTTCTGTTTGTAAGAAGATGTATTCAAATGTTTGTCAGACACAGCATTGCAAAAGATCATATATAGAAAATCCTGCAATCATGAAGAAAATTGCTGACTTGGATAGTCTAATTTTGCTATTGTGACCAAAAGTTTTAATTCCCAACAATTCACACTTTAGTGAATAACAGTGAAAATATATGTGAGGTCCTTGAAAACACAACAGTGACATGAATGGACCAATGCAGTTTGAATAAAGAAACCCTACTCACCTGGAAATCTGATGCGTTTGTCCCAAACACATCTCCATAGAGCGGTTTTCCCATTTCATCTACGGGAGGCTTTCCCCAGCCACCAGCATGATAGCCAAAGGAGCAGCCCTAGAAGAAAAAATAAAATAAATAAATAAATAAAAAATATATATACATATACATATATATATATATATATATATATATATATATGGCCAATGTGGAAGAATATTAGTGACTTAGGCTAGAATGAGCGATAAGAGTATGAAATGAAAATATATTTTTTTTAAGGATAGAGTGACAGAAGACATGGCTCACATCTGGAATCGGAGAATTCAGGCCTGGGATTTTGAGGTTTGGATAAGAAGGTGGTGGTCCATATCTCTGCATTGCAATGAGCCAGGGAGGAGGCACTTTATGCGAGTTCTAAAAGAGAATTTTTAAAAAGTGTGAAAAACAATACATATATGAAAAGTAAAAAAATAACATCTCAGATAAGTACAGTATCAAGAGACATTTAATTATGCTCAACAAGTTATCAAACATTTGAATTTTTTGCACTACAAAATAATTTGATTACAGTTAAACAGAATTGGTTGAAAATTGGGCCCATTTACACCGAATAGAAATATATCTTTAACTGTATCACAACCAAGTGTTTAGAATTGAATAAAATTCTGAAAAGTAGTCCTCATATAAACTCACAAGTCCAACAGGCATTCCCAAAGCGATGCGCAATTCATCTGAAAGGTCTCCTGGTTTCTTCTCCTTCAATCGGGTCTCAAATTCCTTTCCCTGAAAACAATGCAAGCTGGGTAAGTGGCAGATATTCAGCACGTAACTGAACATGCTTTGCTCCATAAAGGGACACAATGCTGGAGCTGACACTCATTATTAAAACATTATATAATATCTGGATTAAAATGTTTTATATGTACACATTTAAAATATTAACTAATGTTTAAACATCCTTAGCTTGCTTTAAACTCCCAGGATTTGATGCAGCTGCAATTAGCATTTTTTTTTTTATTAAGACCAACTAAATTAAGGATTTTAAGATTACCCAACCTCACCACATTGGGTGGGTAAAAACCAAATGTAGACATATAGTTCACTTAAACAATAAATCTCACTAGACCAGATAAGTTTTCTGAATTCTTTCACCTCGTAGTACAGGTCTCCATGGATTGTCAACTTTGGCTTGCTTTGCCACTTGAAAAAAGCATCATGAAGTTTTTGATAATCTATGTCAATTTTTCCCATCTTTGGTCGCACTTTTTCTCTCATTTTGGATTTCATGGTTTTCTGTTCCTCCTGAATTTAGGAAAATGACAACAGATAAATCATAAAAATATATATATTTTTAATAACTACTAAATACAATAACATGAATCCCATTTGCTCACCTTTTCCTGAAGAGCTTCTCTCATTTCCTGAATGCCTGTTCTCTTGATGAATTCAGGAAGCTGGAAAGGGGGCTTCTCAATACCTCTTTTTCCTTGCAGATATTTACGTTTGAAGCACCAATGACGAGGAACAGGGACAGAATTACGTGTGCCCTTCAGGTGGACAAGGAGTTTAGGATCTTGAGCAGTGACATCATGCATTTCCACTACATCTGGCCTTGATACCAACTAAGAAAAAATAAGAAGGTTTATGGAAGCACGGGGATAGAATGATTATAACGAATGGATTGTCCAGCAATGTCAATATAGGAAAGAAAGCCATCAACTAATCTTTTGATTCCTTCACTGTCACAGCAATTTATATGAATTCACATTATTTTAGATATGTACTTCAGAAATTCTCATATTTAAGATTTAATATTTCCCACAGGCCTTACATTGCATCACAGACCACAAAAAAGAAACCCTACACACCTCTACAACAACTAAATAGTATATGAAAAGTGTCCACCAAATAACACCTACTGGCACCGCACACAGGGCTCAAAACAGCAAACAGAAATTCCCACAATCATAGCATAAAACGAAGCAGTTAATATATATATTGTACAATTCACATCAATGTATGTTATAAAACCGATTATTTTTTTAATAAATCAGAAATAAAACATGTACGGTTTCTTTAAAAAAAAAAAATTCATAACTTGGCAGCATTACCTGCTTTAGTTCAGCAACTGTAAATCTATTCATCCTCCTCAACTTTTTCTTCGACAGTTTGGGAGCATCCAACTTCTTGTTCTGAAAAGAAACACATCGATTTATAAATTGGATTAGTGGATCTCTGGCATATTAACACCAGTTAGAAAAGTGGAATGCTAAGCACTATTACAGCTCATTGAAGTGATTATGGTGAAAACTATCTGTAAGCTCCTTCCACCTGTTTGTGTGGTTTCAAAAAACATTTGTATGGTTAAAAATATTTTTAAAAGAATAAATAGCATTCCCAGTGCACCAAGCTGTACTTTCTTTCAGAAACCAGATTATATTAAATGGTTTGAAAAATGATTTGACTCAAACAGGGTGCTTCAAAAAAAAGAAAAAAAGCATAACTAAAACTCAAGGATCAGAAACAAATACATACATTTCTACAAATAAATGTAAATGCTACATTAAGAAGAAAACAAAAAAACTATTCTTTAGTTTAGGAGATTTTATGTATATTAATTTACACACCTCTTCATCACTATCACTATCACTGTCCATCTGTTCCTCTTCAAAACGCTTTCTGGGGGCAGCTGGTTCAATCTTCTCCACCTTCTCGGGTTCCTTCTCTTTTTCTTTCTTAACATCATCTGTGAGCTGTAGAGTACACGAATCATCACATGTTGCCATTCTCCAAGTCAAACCTCTTCATTAACAGGATGATATATTAGGTTAAAGCTATAGATTAGAAAGACCCAAAACAACAACCTCAAAAATACCCAGCACTTCTCAAACCCAAATCTATACTTTTGCCATACTTTCAGAAGTCGTAAAGTCCCAAAGCTGGCAGTTCATAACTTTAGTGAAATCTCTGAATCATTCCCTTGGACTGATGTATGGACACCCACCTACCAGTTAAGGAGGGAAAACAATCGTCATTACAATGTCAGATTACAAATCCCACTATCCTCACAAATTAATCTAACTCCTGTGCTCTTCAGGCAGTCTTAAGAGACGTCCACAGACTTATGTACAAAAGGACATATACCTCTATGATGCACATGTTATTACCTTTACAAAACCGTTTCATCATACCTTAAAAGCTTGGAAAATTCTTTTGAAAAAGATAAAGTTGGGATCATAGATGTCTGGTTCCTCTGTTACATACTCTATCTCAATCTTCCCTGTTGCAGAATCAACAACAGCCTCAGCTGCCTCATTCATCTCTTCGACAACTACCGGCTGTGAGATGACTGTCTTTCTGCGTGTTCGTTTCTTTCGGTTCCTCCGTCTGCGACCTTTTTTCTAGGTGTGAAAATATGCAAGTGTAATTTGACATTTGTTTCTCAACAATATTAAAGATCAGTCATCCATAAAACATATGGACACTAGGGCACTTTCAAGGATAAAATTTTTTTTGAATATGACAACCCTTTATTCTCTTTTTAACGAATAATACCTTGTTATCCCTGTCCCTTCAACCCTAAAATGACTCGAAAAAATTAAGTATAACTTACCTGAAATCCAGCATTAGGCGAAGCTCCTAGCGCGGCATTCAACTTCCCCACATGACGTCTTGGCAGTTGGAAAATGTCCAATCAAACGCTTCTTGGACTGTTTAAGTGGCTCAAACTGCATGCGCATGCTCTGAGCCAGTAAGTGAAGTGAGTGAGGAGTTAAGGGCATATGGAGGCAGGTTGGGAAGGGAGATAAAGTTTTCCCCTTGCAAGCTTTGCCTGCAAGGAAAAGCTGACTACATCTATTGCCAGTGCGCTAATGCCAATTGTGATTTTTGCACAGAGTTGAAATAACAGAGTCCAAAGTAACAACACAAAAGGGCTTTCCTATGATAAAGCATGGATTGCTCACCACGCATGAGCATCAGGTCCCCAATGCTCATCTAAGGGGAGCATTGTATTGGACCACTACCATGCCTCCTCAATGATGTCATGGGAGGCAGAGAAGTAAAAAGGGAAGAGAGAGCCTCAGCGTTGAACAAAGGGGAGCAATAGTTAAATTTTATACATTTTTAGTGCACACGGGGAAGATGATGACACCTTTATCTAACCAAGGACAGGGGCACTATATAGTAAAAAAAATATGCAGGTTTGTATTCCAAATGCTGTAGTATTCCTTTAAAGGGACACTACTTCCAAAATGTCAACCCCAATTTTTTTCTAATCGTTTGGTAGATATGCTCCCTATGAAAACATGGATGCATTTAATTATGGATTTTTCGTTTGGTGAATATATCTTTAAAAAAAAAAAAAAGAAGCCTTTGCAAGGCAGGCGCTCTGAGCTATTGCCTTTCTCTTCAGTTTAGTTCTACTGAGCTAAGCAACAATAACAGGACTGGTTGTCTGACAGCCAGGGTATGTAAAATTTATGAAAGTGACAATTTCAATTAAAAGCTACACTTTTTGTAGAATACAAAAAAAATCACAAAGTAGTTCAGAACTGTTTCAGGGATTAAACTACTGAACCAAGCAATGGTAAAGAATACATAAAATAGGAGCCTTTATTGAAGATGTTCTCAAACTACAATAATCCTCTTAATTATCCAGTTTTTCACCCAATCAATAAGCAAACTCCTTTTCAAGATTCCACTATGTGCAGGATAATGTGTACTTCATCACATCCTCCTAATCCGTTTGTCTGCCACCATCTTCCACTTATTATACAGTAGCTTGAGCATATGTAGGAGTATTCTTACCTCCTTTTTAGATGGGGCAGTGCTTTCCTCTTCTGTTTCAGAAGCTGTGTATGCCTGATTATAGTCCATATCATCTTCCTCTTCTGAGAATGAAGGAAATAAGCATTTATAATACGAAAAGAAATATACACAATTTTTTTTTTATATATTAAACGGCAGGCTTTTGAACCAAATTTTATGGGGGCGCCGGGGAGGGGAGTAAATGTAGTAAAGCTCAGGCACTGTTTGATTAATCACCATTAAAACAAAAAAGTACCAGTAAATTAGACTACACACTAACAATTTATAAATTTGTTATGGGATCCTACACATCTCTCATATGTGAAAGAGAGCAGTCATCAATTGTCCCATCCACTCCATAGACCTGGGTTTGAAAATGTAACCTGGAACTTACAGGAACACTATAAGGTCAGGAAAGCAAACGTGTATTCCTGACCCTTTAGTGTTATAACCACCATTTCGGTGGCTTACGCCCCCACCCCCCTTAAAAAGTAAAAAAAATAAATTAAAAATAACCTTATTTCCAGCACCACACAGACTTGCCAGCGTTGGCCATGCCCTCAGTCCGCAAGAATTCATAATATTTAGCCAATCCAATGCTATGGGAAAGCATTGGATTGCCTGAAATTGGGCAAGGAGGTGTAACGAGGCCAAACCTCGGCTTGGCCAATCAGCACCTCCTCATAGAGATGCACTGAATCAATGCATCTCTATAAAGGAAAATTCTGTGTCTCCGTGCAGAGCAGGGAGACGCCGAACGGCAGTGCTGCACACTGTGCAGCACTGCCCTAGGAAGCACCTCCAGTGGCCATCTGTGGAGTGGCCACTGGAGGTATCCCGAGGGGGCAAAGTAAATTTACATGAATTCCTGAAGGGAACGATTATACTCACCAGAACAAATACAATAAGCTGTAGTTGTTCTGGTGACTATAGTGTCCCTTTAAGACTTTTCATGGACTATTACATGGACTTGTCTTGAAGGGTTAGAAAGCAACACATACACAAATAGCTATACACTTACACAGACCTTAAGCAGCTCATTCAACTACACAATTTTCCACACACTGCATTAGCTGTGCAGGGTAAAATGAGAATGGAGTACACTACAGAAAGATTTTTAAGATTCTGATTTTAGAATATTTAAAGTCTTGTGAAAAAGGAAGTCATCTCACATCAACAAACATTAATGATTTTGATATTGTCACTGAATATGTAAATAAAGGTTAAAAAAAAAAAAAAACCCACGACAATTTGAATAAAGCCACCTAAGCAATCTAGAAAAGAAAAGAGGAAGGAGAAAAAAAAAGTAATCTCTTCAATAAGTAAATACATCTTAAAACGGAAGCAAATGTTAATAGTTTGTTACCTGTAGTCACAGGTATAGAAACCATCTCTTCTTGCCTGATCTCTTTGAGTTGAAGAATCTTCTCAAGTACCTGTGGAATCTTAGGACCAGTTGATGAATCATCAGACTAAAAGAAAGAAATTAGATTTTATTTTTTTTTATTATATAAAAAGAAATACAAATACATATATATTTTTTATATCTACATTCATACATTATATATATACACACATATATAATGTGTGTGTGTGTATATATATATATATATATATATATATATATATATATATATATATATATATATATATATATATATATATATATATATAAATATATATATATACATATACATATACACACACACACACACACACACACACACACACAAAGTGTAAATATTGGCCAGCACACACGATCTTGAAGTAAAATGGTACTTTATTGAGAAATCTTAAAAATCGACGTTTCAGCCCACGACCGGGGCTTTCATCATTAATGGGTTGATCCTGATGAAAGCCCTGGTCGTGGGCTGAAACGTCGATTTTTAAGATTTCTCAATAAAGTACCATTTTACTTCAAGACCGTGAGTGCTGGCCAATATTTACACTTTGTATATAATTTTTGGTTGTGGCTATTTATTGCACCCGGCAATTATATTTGCAGAGTACTGCTGTGTATACATCTGAGTGCAAGGACTGGACATTTTTACACACACACACACACACATATATATATATATATATAAATAAATAATGATAGCACTCCAAGGATTTCAAAAATATTGTGAAAAAAGCTTTTATTCAGGCATCTACCACAGAAGACCAACGTTTCAGTTCTCTAAGGAACTTTCGTCAGGATCCTACTTTAGGTATTTCCTAAATAGGTGCGTTCTAGGGAACTTCTTAAAAGGACCAGACGCAGAATGCCTAGTGGCTGTAACTTTTTAGGGGTTTAAACAAATTTTCATCAAAAGCGTCCTCAACAGTATTGCGCATTGTTACTGAATTATATGATACAAACAGTATCAGAAAAAATATTTGCCTTATATACAGAGAAATTTGTTCCAATTGTCTAAAGCAAGAGCAACTCACCTCTCTCAACTCTTCAGTAGGTGGCTGGTTGATTACACGGGGTCGGGTGATAGTGGGCAGCAGTGGAGGTATGGAGGATGCAATGGGAAGGTTTCCTAAACACAAAATAAACCGATGTGAAAAAAATGCCAAAAAGGTGACAAGGTATGAACAACAGAATCTGGAAAATTACCTCTAGGGAGAAGCAAAGAACGTGTGGTGGAGCTATCTTGCTCAAGAAGAGTAGCCTGGAAAATAGAAATATCTTAAGTAAGAATAAGCGACATATGAATAGTGGAAAAAATATATCGGTATTAGACAATACTAAGTCTGAATATTTTGAGCAAATATGAAGACAAAAATGTATTCAGATCTAGTTTACTTTTGGACGGCTGTCAGCTTGAATAAATAATGAGATTACCTGTTGCGGCTTACTGCCTTCAGAGTCAGAATTGATACGAGATGTCAAACCCAATGGGAACCCAAGTCCTAGAGTAGTAGATGGTGGTGGCCCTGAGAGAGGCATTCCTGCCATCTGAATGGGAGAGAACATAAAGCATTAATCTTCAAGATATTAAAAAGAAAAGAGCAGACAACAAAAGCAATCACGCAAAAAATATGATAAGCATGAAATAAGAGCATGTAGACAAGAAGTAAGTAACAAGTAATTATTGTGCCAGAACGCCTCCAGGCGAATTCTTACCTTCGTTGGTTAAAACTTTTCTTTGAGCGGTTTAACCCCCGAAGTTGCCTCCAGCGTCTATATAAGCCCCTCCCAGCGGTATCCGGCTTTTGAAATCTTAGATTTAGGAAGCGTGGAGTGCCACCGGGCAAGGGAGCTGCTGATTAAGTGAGAGCAGGCAGCTGACACTCTCAGTCAATCAGTGACTCCCCATTCACTAAACAGGCATGGAAAGAAACTTATCTTTTCCAAGAAAAAAAAAAAAATCAAACACTTTATATACAAACCTATACCATGCTCAGTGCTTGTCAGCATAAATATAGTAGCAATTATCCATATAGCACTCCGATGATTTATTCCAATTTCATTATAAAAGTACATTTATGTAATTTTGACTCTGATCGCTGCAGGGGGAGCCTCAAGGGTTAAATTTAGTTATTTAAATATTTTAAATGTATTTATTAAGCTAGGCTGGGTGGAAGTGGGAAATTTATGGTTAGGCTAGTTAGGGGTTAACCGTTAAAGAGACTACACTGGGTATAAACTAGCGAAAAAATGCAAACGTTCAAAATATGCCATTTGAAATACCCTTCTTTAGGAAATGGTATGCCTTTATGGGGTAGTTTGAATTTGCAACCTGTTAAAATGGGCAAAAAATAAATAAAAATAATAATAAAATGAAAAGGATGTCTGAAATGTGCGCCTACGTCGTCCCCATATACCTGGCAAAGGTACATACTGGAGAATAATGCTGTACTCAGACCACATAGCTGAGCAACATATGAATTGTTATGTTGGCGTAGCACACATACAGTTAGCAAAATATACAGTAAAAACTCATTGTTTGCTAAAAAGGCAGAATTTTTTTTTTCTTATTACCACTACACAGTGCACGCTAGCAAAAAAGCTAAATATGACTTTTGAACTACCGTGGCATGTCTTCTTTAAGAAATCGTATGCCTTTGTGGGGTAGTTTGAAAAAGCAACCTGTTAAAATGCTTCAAAAAGGAACAAGGACCCATCACAACCATCTATGAAAATGCACACTTCAAAACCTGAAATTGTCACGTCTCTTTTACAGCACTGTAACTTCACAAAAGTGACTACATCATATATTGGTCATATTGTTACACTCAGAAGATGTAGCTGAGCATAATTTGAGGGTTTTAGGACAGTGGCACATAAATGTACATAATACCCAGGAAAAATGCAACATGTACAAAATGCCATTTTCCAGCACAAACTTTGACATAAATTGGTGAAAGAATGGTGGCAATTTAAGGCAAAATATACACTATAAGATAACCTGGAGTGTCTGCTTTCTCAAAAGGAAATCCTTATGTGAACAGTCAAACTGCTAAAATGCCTCAAATCCATCCATGAAAATTCTAACCATAGAAACTGAAATTGCCTGGCATTGTAGCTTCACATAATAGTAACAACGGCACAAAATAGGAGTATTGTTGTACTTAGCAGATGCAGCTGAACACAATATGGGGCTTAGCACACACCAGCTTTAAGAAATACACATAAAAAAAAAACAAAAAAAAAAACCTTGTTACGTGTGTATGTCAAAAAAATAGAAAAAGCACAAATTTACTGCATTATTTAGCAGAATTTGGCAGAGAAATGGCTAAGAAAAAAAGTGTCAACCTTTATAGCGTGTGATGTCTACTTTATATAACTATATACTGCTGTGGGGAAATTTTGTTTTCTGTGATAGCTATTAAGCTTACAAGACAAACATACAAACATCCAAAATAGTTTCAGATGGGAATTTTATTTTACTCCTTGTATTTTGTGACCTGTAACTTTCAAAATAAACTGAAATCCTATGTATATTATGTTCAATGTAAATCACGACAAAAATGTATTTTGAATTACTTTTTCCAAGCTGAACATATTATGCACATGTTATTATTGCTAATTATGGGAGGGTATATAATATGTGTTGGTGCAATAAATAAGAAAAATGCAAACTGCAGTTAAACACAACCAAGCTGTTTTGGAGTATCACCTTTAAAAAAAAAATTTGCTCAGAAATGCTTCAGACTTGAGAAAGGGAGGTTCTCCCGAAAGCTGGTCATTAAAATATTCTGTTAGTCTAATAAAAAAGGTATTACAAGATACGAATTTTATCTGTTTTTTACATCTACATCACTGGACTAATACGGCTACAACCTCTACTTGAACACGATTAAAATAAATATACATACATACACACAAAAAAAAAATATATATATTCTTGGCACTCACCCTTTCATGTAAATCCAATTTAGCCTAAGTGCAATCCCGCATTGAAGATATATAAACAAAAGTAAAGAGATGCACTCTGAGGACTTAGTAAGTGAAAAAAGGGTAATTTATTCCAATAGGTATTACATCAAAAATTAGCTTGAGAAAGAAAGACCTGAATGGGTCGAACCGACGGCTAATTTTTGATGTAATACCTATTAGAATAAATTACCCTTTTTTCACTTACTAAGTCCTCAGAGTGCATCTCTTTACCTTTGTGTGTGTGTGTGTGTGTGTGTATATATATATATATATATATATATATATATATATATATATATATATATATATATATATATACACACACATATATATATATATATATATATATATATATATATATATATATATATATATATACACACACACACACACACACACACACACACATACATTATATATATACACACACACACACACACACACACACATACATACACACACACACACACACACTCACCTGCGCAAGCCTTGCAGCTGTAGAAAGCTCATTTTCTTCACGAACCTGAATAAAAAGGGTAAAATAACAAGAGTTGTAGAACCCAAGTATAGGATATAATAAAAATATGGGAAGAAAGACTAAGTATGTTGATTATGTGTATAATGCCACCAAAACTCCTTAAATGAGATGGAAATCTGTGTGAACAGGTTTTGTAAACCAACAAATTATGTAGATTTGTGTAAAAATATAATTATTTTAAAAATCTTTCATCCAACCTGTACATTGTTTGTGGGTCGATCAATCAGTTCCTCTCTGATTCCTAAAAAAGAAAAAAAAAAAATGCAGAAGTTACGATTGTGCATGTGTAAAAAAAATAATGACATGCATAGAGAATATTAAATGGCTTGCATAACACCGTCATCGCGGAGATCATCAATCTTGATGATCTCACACATAGGAAAGCATTTGGAGGATAACGCACATCCGCTTCAAATGCCATGCTGCGTCAATCACATCTCCTCGTTGAGATGCATTGAATCAATGCATCTCTATCGGGCACATTCAGCGCCTCCATGCAGAGCTTGGAGATGCTGAACGCAGGTGCTAAACACTGTGCAGTACTGGACTAGAAATCACCTTTAGTGGCCGTCTGAGTGACTGTCACTAATTGTTACTAGTCAGCAATGCAAATTTTTTTTAGCTGGCTCCTAGATTCCAAATAAATTTGTGTCAAGCCCTGAGTTACAGCATATAATAAAACATAGCATAAGTCTGTGAGAAAACAAATGTAACATTATGGCAAGTCCTTACTAAAACTGGTATGGGCCACACCAATCCGTACGTGCAATGGACAACAGTCGAAGACTGAGAGCATCACATATTTATATAGCACTAGCAAATTCTGTAGCACTGTACAATGTGTGGACCAGCTGGCATGGACCAGCAACTTAGCTGCGTCTGGTGTTAAATAGGGGCGGATGCGAACTATGTTTTTGAGATGGAAGCGGCAGGATTTGGCGATCAACTGGACATGGGGGGTAAAGGAGAGGATGGAGTCAAAGAGAACACCTAGGCAGTGAGCCTGCGAGGTAGAGGTAACGGTGGCGCTGTTGACTTGGAGGGAGACAGACATGGGAGTAGCAAAAGTTGAGGGAGGGAAGACAAGAAGTACTGTTTTGGACAGGTTCAATTTAAGGAAATGAGCAGCCATCCAGTTGGCAACAGCGGAGAGGCAGTCAGATACACGAGTCAAGAGGGGTGGTGAGAAATCAAGGGAGGACAGATAAATTTGCTTGTCCTCCGCATAGAAATGATATTGGAAGCCAAAGGAACTAATGAGTTTACCAAGGGAGGCAGTGTAGATTGAGAATAGAGGACCAAAGACAAACCCTTGCGGGACACCAACATAGAGGGATTGGGGAAAAGAAGCAGAGAAAGAAGCACTGAATGAGTGCAAGGAAAGGTAGGAAGAGCACCAGCAGATATCTCATAGACCGATATTACAGAGGACGAGAAGAAGCTGTTTAGTCATCCACCCTTGTCATTCCTTGGAAAACAATGATAATCCCAATTAATTTCAATTTTAAAAATTGCCACTGAATTTGGAGAGTATTCCAGCAAAAGATTTACTTAATATGTTTCACGGTTCAGATTCCAAGTCACATATTGCTTCAAATTATATTCTATTGTATCATTCACCTGTCGTTCCATAGAAAATAGCAATAATCCCAGGTAATTTCTATTTTGCAATCTGCTGCTGTACTTGGGGAACACCTGTGGTAAAGATTAATTTGCTACATAACACAGATTTGCCTGCAGTGAGTTTATGAGTTGCTTCCCATTATACTTTATGGGCATTCTCTTTATTATTCTTTATAAAGCGTCAACAAGTTACGTAGCGCTGTACAATGGGTGGACTAACAGACACGTATTTGTAACCAGACAAATTTGACGCACAGAAACAGAGGGATTAAGGGCCGTGCTCAATGAGCCTACATGCTACTGGGAGTGGGGTATAATGACACAAAATATAAGGGTAGGGTAGAAAAGTAGGTTGCTAGGATATTATTCACTGAAGGTTTAGTGTTTTGTTTTGATGAGTTTCAGGAGAGGAATTAGGGTGCAGGGAGGAAAAGCTGTTGACAGTTTAATTGATATGCTTTCCTAAATAAGTACGTTTTCAAAGATTTTTTGAAGGAGTGGAGATTGGGTGAGAGTTTAACAGAGAGGGGTAGGGTGTTCCATAGGAACAGTGCAGCCCTAGAGAAGTATTTAAGGTGAGCATCAGAGGTAGGAGTACGTCTCCGGCAGAGCGTAGGGGCCTAGACGGGACATATTTGTGTATTAGTGAGGATAAGTAGGTGGGAGCAGCATTGTGTAGAGATGTGTAAGCAAGTGTCAGGATCTTAAATTGAGCATTACTGGAAGCCAATGGAGGGACTGAAAGTGGGGCTGGCGTGGGAGGTGCTGGCGGGCAGGAAGATAAGCCTTGCCGCTGACTTTATTTTAGACTGTAACGGGACAAGTTGGGAACACGCAAGACAACTGAGAACCGGATTACAGTAGTCAAAGCGAGAGAGGACAGCAGCATGATACCTTTGCCATATCAGGTGCTAAATATGGTAGGATGCGCGCAATGTTTTTGAGGTGAAATGGCAGGATTTGGCGATTGATTGGGCATGAGGGGTGAAGGAGAGGTCGGAGTCAAAGAGAACACCTAAGCAGCAAGCCTTAGAGGTAGAGCAGATAGTAGCGCCATTGACTTGGAGGGACACGGACAAGGGAGTAGCAACACTTGAGGGAGGAAAGACCAGAAGTTCTGTTTTGGACAGACTGAGGTTAAGAAAGTGAGCAGCCATCCAGTTGGAAATGGCAGAGAGGCAGTCAGAGACACGAGTCAAGATGGGCAGAGAGAGATCAGGAGAGGACAGGTAGATTTGTGTGTCATCTGCATATAAATGATAATGGAAGCCAAAGGAGCTGATGAGTTTACCAAAGGAGGCAATATAGATTGAGAACAGTAGAGGACCAAGGACAGAACCTTGCGGAACGCCAGAGAGGGGTTGGGGAGAAGAGGCAGAGACAGAGAAAAACACTGAAAAAGCACTGGGAGAGTAGGACGAGCACAAATAGAGAGCAGTACCTCATAGACCGAGATTATGGAGAATGAGAAGAAGCTGTTGATGATTAACAGTGTCAAAGGCAGCAGAAAGATCAAGGAGAATTAGGATAGAGTATTGGCCGCGAGATATAGCAGCTTTTAAGTCATTGGATACTTTGGTCACAGCTGTTTCAACAGAGTGATGAGCGCGGAATCCAGACTGAAGTGGGTCAAGCAGAGAGTTGGATATGAGGAAGTCTGTCAATCTCGCATACATAACTCTCAAGAATCTTGGAGGCAATTGGCAGTAGCGATATAGGGCGGTAGATGGATAAAGAGTTGGGGTCAAGGTTGGGCTTTTTATGAATGCGTTATGGTTGCATGCTTGAAGGGTGAGACAGAGATAAGATACGAGGGAATAGGATCAAGGGAACAGGTGGTGCGCTGGAGGACCGGAGCAGAGCAGAAACCTACCGCTGTAGTAGGTGCAAGTGAGCATAGAACAGTATAGTGAGTGGGGTTGGGTGATGTATTGATTGTAGAAATCTTCACTGTGAAGTGAGTTGCAAAGTTTGAGGCGAACAGGGTTGTAGGAGGAGGGGGAGCATTAAAAGTGTTTAATAGGCATTTGGTTTGGCGGGACAGTGTGCTTATGTTCTCTGAGTCTATCACTACCCACCCTACTTCACCCAAGTT